GTGGAAGAAGATGGACACGTATGTTACCCCAGGACCAGTCTTCCTCAGCAAAAAAAAGAGGAAGATTGGCAGATGTTAGCACAGGGCTGATCTCCTCACCAAAAAAAAAAAAAAGTACATTTTGATAATTGTTTCATAATCTTGTTACAAACTGTACTCTACACAGAGATTTCAAAAGTCTTCATTGTTTTCCAGTATTGGAGTTTTCTCTTAAATATAGAGCATCTCACGCTACTGTGATCCATAGAAATGTACGTGTTTTGCTTTCCCTCCATCCCTACGTGCAATGATAGCTTCTTGTTTGCAAGGAGTTAGGTCCCAAGGGCTCTGGGAGTATGTTTAGCACCACAGCAACCAAAGCTAGCAGACCAAGTACAGCACTTAGATAGGCTGCAAGTCAAAGATGCCTATATATGGACTCAAGAAATGGGTGCACAAATCTCTACTTTTATCCCCTACATTATAACCATCCTCAGCACTTGTGCTCGGTGTCAAGGTGGTAAGAGGGTCAGCACAGAAAACTCCGAAAATGGTAATAAACCCAAAATAGAGCTGGAGGGAAAAAACAGCCAATCTCTGCACCTCTGAAATAATAATGTGACCCAATCTTCTTTCTTAAAAGTTACAATTTAAAAAAAGAAAAAAGCATAAGAAATCTTATTTCGAATACAGAGAGAAAGAAAAGGAGAACTGTGTACGGGAAAGAACAGAATGTGAATTCCCAGAACCCGGAGGAAGGCCAAGTCAGGAGTGAAAGTAGCCAGGCTGAGGGTCAGCACATCTGGGCTCCCTCACTTTACCTTTCAGAGGCTTCACTTCCTCCTCTACGAAAGGGAATTCATAATCCCTACAGTATAAGATTGTCGCAAAGACTGGAAACAGTGGATTTAAAGTAGTCAGCATATAAAAAGGCCAATCTCGAAAGGTTACTACTGTGTAATTCCATTTATAGAGCATACTTGAAATGACAAAATTAGAGAAATGGAGAACAGATTAGTGGTTGTCAGGAGTTGGGAGTGGGGGAGGAGAGAATTGGCTATGATGGTAAAAGAGTACCGTGAGAGATCCTTGTGATAGAAACGTTCTGTATCTTAACTGCAGTGGTGGTCACATGAATTTTCACGTGTGATAAAACTGCATAGAACTAAATACACACACACACACATGCACATAAATGAGTGCATGCAAAACCTATGAAATCTAAATAAAGTTGATGATTGCATCAATGTTAATTTTTTTATTGTGATACTGCAATATTGCTATGCAACATGTTATCATTGGAGGAAACTAGGTGAAAGGTATACAGGATCTCTGTATTATTTCTTACAACTGCATATAAATCTATAATTTCTCAAATATTTTTAAAAATCTCATCACCTTAAAAAAAATGTCTGGCATGTTATGAATGCTCCATAAGAGGCATATTGGGCAAGTTATCATTTCGCCTATAAACCAGAACTGCAAATTCCTACTTCCCACTGATGAGAGTCTAGAGGAATCGCTGAGCACTGCACCTGAGCAAGCACACCAGGTGAGGGTTCACGCAATGCAGGTTATCACCACCATCATCTTTGGACCCCAGCCCTTCAAAAGCTTACTAATATCCAAGTGAATTATCAACCCTCTTTATGTAACTAAAGGACAAACTTACTGACAGGAATCCACTTACCACAATATTTAAAGAATATTTATTCTGCCTCCATATAATAAACACATACACACTAATATAAAAGAGTCCTCTAAAAAGAGAGAGAGAAAAAAATATTTTCACAGTCTAGAGCAGCATTTTCCAAAGTGTTCTCTAAGGAACACTAGTCCCCTGAGATGCTCCAAAAAAAAATCAAGCAAAATAAAAGATCCATGGTGAAATAAAGTTGGGAAATGCTGCATTCACTGTCCCCCTCGGGGAGCTCCAGAAAAAAAAAAATGTCCCTATCCAACTTCACTTAACCCATCTTTCCCCAAATCTACTTGATCAAAAATCATTTTTTTACCTATTGGCATCCTGAGAAATATTCCCAAGGTCTAGGATTTAAAAAGTCTCCTACATGGGTCAGCTACTCACTACCCAGTTTCTGCCCTATTACATACTTGAGAAGAGAAATGGATGGTTTTTCTACAACTAGTGTAGTGGTTTAACTGCATGCAGTTGGACTTGAACAAATGTTTGCTGAATTAGATTCAATGCAAGTACAATTCTTTGATGACAACTCTAAGCATAGGAGAAGTGACTTTTCCTTTTTTTTTTAAGTCTCTCACTTAGTTGAGAAAACAAAAGTGCTCCTTTCTGGAAGTTTCTCAGAAACTTTCAGGTGCAAAAGTTTTCCATTATGTCAACAGTCTCCTCCTGAGTGGCAGCTACTCACAACTGGAACAGCAGTTTACAACATGATGTGATTATGAGGAATAAGCTCATGACTAAAAAGATCCCTACTCAAAACTATAGGTCCTGAAATTCCTTTAGCAGGATATAGAGCCTTTCACACCAAAAATAAGGAAAAAGCTCTAACCGCAGTTATTCCTGGAAGATGTAATAAGTTAAGTCATTTCATGAAAATGACTTAAGCTTAAAGACATATAAACAAATTTCAAATATCAGAGAATTTGCTGAGATCAGGCATGGATGGGGGCAGGGGGAGGAAGGTGAAGACCATGAGTCCCAGGAAGGAGCAGAGGGACAAAGACAGAGAAAAAGGGAGGCAGAAGTTATCAAAATCAAGCTTCACTTAATTCACAGGTCTGTCAAGGCCAAAGACTCTGCTTTACGATTACATATTTCCATTTACAAAAATAACCCATATTCTAACTTGCAGAACCATAAACTGGAAAATTAAGAGAAAGAAATTAATGAGAATAATTTTGAAAGGAAGAAATTAATCAGAGTAAAGAAGAAGAAAAAAATTAGGGATTTTTTAAAAACACACAAAGCGTTTGAGGAATACCCACTTCAAAATTAGTTCAGTTACACCCACCTTCTTAGTAAGGATCTGGAAAAGAAGAATTTATCATGAACCCCTGACATACTGAAAAAATGTCTCCATCACTAAAGGATAATAAAGCAAACTCACTGAGCATTCCAAGCCAAAGGCATACTCACGCCTTTTAGGAATATTTCCAACATGTCTGAAAACAAAATGAGTTTCAGATAAAACCTCAATTTCACCAGGAGAGCCTTGCTTCCCAAGCATTCCAGTTCCTCAAGGTCGCTATATAAAACTGAGCAATGGTTTAGACATTCCATTACAGTTGATAATCCTAAAATCACATGAATGTAGCTGTCAGGCATACTCATTCTTCAATACAAATAAGGCTAGGTCTAATCATAACACTTCAAATAAACTGAGATGTCACTTGACAGATGTCATCTGTCCCTCCACTCTGCTTTCTCACTGGTCCTCCCTTGCAGCATCGCAGGGCCAAATCTCTCGGCCACAATAATTTGAGCAGCTTTTGCCTTGGCTACCCCAGCCTTCTCCTCTCGCTGGCCCAGAAAATACAGTGGTGAAAAAATTAAGTATTTTGGTAAAAAAATATTTTCTGGTAATTGAGCTGAATTTGACACAACAAAAGTGTCTATGAATTGAGCAGAGATCCCAGTGAGCTTCCAGACTCAGGGCCCCCACAGACTAAACCCAGCTGGAGATAAGAAAGGCAATAGAAACATTCTAAATCTGCCTGCTGAATACTTGAAACTCCCTAATGGTCTATGAAAGTTTTCTTACAAAGAACTCGGACACCTTTTACAGTTTCGCTTCTTGCTGCAAGATGTTTTTTCCCCTATTTCAAAGAGAGAAAGTCACTCTGTCTCTTTCTCTCCTTTTTCCCTCCCCTACTCATGAACACAGGAAATACTGACTTTCCTAAATTTCGTTTAACAGTGATGGAAGGAGGGAAAGCCTAGGTACTCTTATTCCTAATCCAATGTTCTATTATTAGGATTTTAAATGCTGTGCAGTTTAAATAACGTAAGTGGGAAGACAATGAACAATGACTGTACTGTAGCACTCCTGCTCCCCCCACCCCTCAGGGAGCCTGAGTGATGCCTTATCTGGGGGGTCCCATTTGGACCCTGAGGCACCTGCAAGGTGACAGGCTCCACCTGACTGCATTAAAAAGTTCTCCCTTTTCCTCTTTTAACATGCATAAGTTCATTTAGGTGAATAAGGCCATGTTCAAAAACAAGTTCAGCCTTTTCCATTTTTAAAAAAAAGTGCTTTCATTTTCGTAAGACTAAACCATTCAGCCAGACTTGGCCAAACCTTCAGTTTACACAGTGGGAAACACTGTAACAACTGGCCCAAATAGCCCTAAGGAAAGAACCAGACTCATGGCTTCAGAAATGAGAAAAATGCCCCCAAGTTGGCTTCCTGGTTCCCCCACAGTGCGCATCAGGGCACGCAGAGGAAATTATCTCCATTTCCATTTCTCTGCTGAAATAGTCAAGGAAAGGCAATCCTGGTATCAGAAAAAAAAATTAGCATGCCACTAGAGCTCGCAGGCTGCTGGATCATCAGAGTGCCTCCTCTCAAATTCCAAACACAAACCCACACGCCCGAAACGTTAGACTGAGCCAAGAGGCTGTGCGCCTGCCTGGAAGTCTCGCTCTGCTGACTATCTTCATGTTTATCTTTGAGCACTGGGCCAGCTTAATGGCTGATGCTTCTGCCTTCCTGGGTCCACTGGCAAATCTGCCAGGAGGTCCTCATGGCCAGGCAGAAAGAGGCTACGGGAAGCCAGCAATCAGAGAAGTGTGAGTCTGCAAGAGCAGCCTGCCCTCTCATGAGGTTCTGAAACCCCAGGTCACTGACGAGCACATTAAAGGCTTCCAGCAGCAGAACTGAATGGTGTCAGCACAAATCAGCAAGTTCAAGTCCTTCCGGCTTCCCTTTCTGGCCAGCATGGGAGAGTCTTAGCCACAGTGGCATTAACAGGCTTCTGCCCAGCAGGAGAGAGCTAAGAGGGAGACTTCCTTTAATAGCACCCAAAAAGCATGGGACCACGTGCCCAGTGCCCATCCTGGCAGAAGAAGGACAAACAACGATCCCAATAATAAATGCACACACAGCACAGAGCAAATCATGCATAGCATGATTATACTTTCAAATTTAGTTTCCATAACTGGGTGAGACAATCACTATTCTTGGTCACAACGACCACATAACAAAATTGCCATCCTAAGAGATTTCTACAGTGCAATACCTGTATATATGAATTGCATACGACTAACACATGATTGCTGTTCCCATCTTTGGACCCTCGTTAAGTCGTATTTCTTAAATTGCCTATATACTAAGTTCCATTGTTTTGCAGTGCATTTCCTGGCATTATTTCTCAGAAATGCACGGTACACAGTGCCACTGTCTGCTAAAGGAGCAGCCTTGAACAAATTATAGATTCTCATATAAACAGCTAATGACTACTTATACTTACTTCAGAGATACATCACTTCCTTATAAGATGGCTCCGTATGCCCCAACTTTATATAGCCTATGATATGCTTTATAATTATAATGTTTAAGTATAATAAGTAACATCTTATTTGATTGTCTAATTTTTACTCTTATTTATCTATAGCATGTGGTCTAACCCCAGAAAATAGAAAACCCTATATATTTTTTACACATCACATTAAAGTAACATCTCTCCTACCTTTATATTCCCACTACGTTTCCACTATCTATCGAATATGACCAGAAATTAAAGCATAAGACAATTACAATGCTTCACCCAGAAATGAAATCCATCTTTTATTCCATAGAAGAAAAATTACAGCCAATATGACAGTCTGCTGATGTTTTTAAGACAACAGCCAAGACACAACATAAGCTGTGTTCATAATTTAGTTTAGAAACAGTTGGTCCACATATTGGAATGGCTAAGTATTTTTTAAACCAATATTAATTTTTATTACCATAAAGTTTTTTTAAAATGCATGTAAGGCACTTCTGTGGTACTCCTTATATGGACAAAACAAGGAAACAAGACAAATTGGTCCTAGTTTTTGGGCTAAAAGCTTACAATCAGCTCAGCTGAACCAACAAGATTTATCCTGCCCTGGCATAAATCCTAAAGTGTGTGATTCCAAACTCTGATGTGATCACACCTAGAAATCTGAAGCATTCATAACATTCCATCAAAAATAATGTGCCCACCATACTATATCAGTCTATCCTTAGTGAGTCAAGATGAAATACTTGTGCCTTCACTTCATTTACCACCAACTTGTTAAAAAGGCACTTCAACTTAAGAAAGTAGTTCGACTTTATTTCATTAACCACACAATTACAGGTTGTTTACCCTGAGCTAGGAAATTTATCCCTACTCAGCATGGACAGTAAACAACAGCTTCTCAAGGCTTATTAAATATTAAATAATTAGAATAACACCACGAATATCTATGTGCTTTTACATTGATTTGAGTTTTTTGTGGCACATATTTGTGAACCTGAAACTTCAAGTGCTTTCTCAATTGGAAAAAAAGAAACAGAACCTGACAACAAACGACCGCCCCAACTAGGAAATCCCAATCATCCAATTTAATTTAGTTTATTTTCGAGGTGAGTCCTCCTGGGGAAAATTCATCCAATAACTGATTTTCCTCAACTCTTAGAGGCTGCTACAAAAATAATACAACAGCTTCAGTTAAGTCTCAGAACACAGCCTCCATCTCACCCTGATAGATAATCCCACCAAAATAGCCATTCTAAAGTAAGGTGCAAACCCACCTGCAAAGGTCAAAGTTCAAAGTCAAGGAGAGGCTGCAGTTAAAGGGTCCCTGAAGAGGATCCAGTTTTTCCCACCATCATTCACTAAAGCCTCCACAAATAGCATCCTGCTAAAAGAAGGTCAGCTGGACAGACCACAGAGTGCCAGGGTGCCCTCCTGGTAAACACAACTTCATGACTAATTCATGAATTCAAGAAACCAAACAAGAGTCTAGGAGCAAAAAGCCCAATTAACTCAAAATTAAACAGCATCCAACACCTGTGATTCAACCCAAGTAAGATAAGGGCATGGCTGCCAGAGGGCGTTAAGAACTAAGGGAGCTACCAGATGGGATATTTGAGAGGGAGACGTGCCAGGAAAAACAACCTTGTACATCTTTCCAGGATGGGACCTTATGCTAAACTCAGAGAATATTTTCAGCTGAGTTATTTGGTGAGGATTATACCCCCTCAATTGAGAATACCTGTTGCCCTAGACACTCCCTCCCTTTAAACCACATCTCTATAGTTTTTCAAACCCCACCTCTACTTAGACTGCCAGCTAGTGAGCTTGTAAAGATGGTGAGACAACTTGAGCAAACTCACTGAGTGGGTGACCCAGCAGTCTTCCAGGGAGGATAGTCTGGCCAGAGGAGCCTCTTTCCTGCATGAGAAGCCTCAGAAGGAGCATTTTATAGGAGGGGGAGAAGCAGCACGGCAAACAGTACATGAACAAGTATACAATAAGGACATGTCTCACCCTACGCTGCCATGAAGGATATTCAGCAGAAAAGATGAAAAAGTTCTGGAGACCTGTTGCACAACAATGTGAATAGACTTAACACCACTGAATTGTACACTTCAAAATGGTTATGATGGTAACTTTTGTGTTTCTTAATTTTTTTAAAAATTAAAAAAAAAAAAAAAAGAGGGCCGGCCCCGTGGCTTAGCGGTTAAGTGCATGCGCTCTGCTGCTGGCGGCCCGGGTTCAGATCCCAGGCGTGCACCGCTTCTCCAGCTATGCTGGGGCCGCGTCCCACATACAGCAACTGGAAGGATGTGCAGCTATGACATACGACTATCTACTGGGGCTTTGGGGGGAAAAAATAAATAAATAAAATCTTTAAAAAAAAAAAAAAAAAGATATTCAGCAGAAGCAGCATTCCACACTGCACAGAAAGCCAAGGAGGAAAAGACAAGTCAAGATGATAGCAAGCATT